TTTCAAGGGTCAAATAACGTTTTTTTGCCCTTACTATACTCTGTCCAAAACTCAGCTTTAGCAATTATCATACTACTCAGAGAACATTTTCTTGTCAAAGGTCTTTCTCTTCAGTACTGAGGACTAAACCCATGGGGACTTTACCACTGAGCTACACCCCCAGGCCTGCCTATCTATCTATCTATCTATCTATTTATTTATTTATCAATCAACAGGGTTTTACTAAGTTGCTAAGGCTGGCCTTGAATTTGCAATCCTCCTGCTTAAGCCTCCTGAACTGAGGCAACTACAGGCATGTGCCACCCATGCGTAGTTTGTCAGAGATCTTTTAACATTTATAAATATATCAACTTCATTCTCCTTTTGTGTAAATCATGACTATGTAATGGTTGAAAAAATGATGAGAGTTCTCATTTCTAGAGGAGTTAAAATTTTTAACTCCATGGCTACTGTAACTAATAACATATATGTCAAGTTTGGACTAGTTTTTATTCTCTTTGCTTTTATCTTATCAAACAACCAGTCTCTTCTGCCAAGGCTTTTCAGCTTTCTTTCTTATCTTTCTCCCAAATTAGGCTCCAAATTCAGAGCTTACATTGGCAGGGGATCTTTTGTACCTTAAGAAGTCTTCAGTCTTTCCTAGATGGCTGTTGCTAATTTACTCTTATATCTTGCTTGTATGAGAGATTCTAAAATAATTAAGAATGATAATTATGCTCTAAACTCAATATGTTTAATGATATTTAAGAAGCTGCTCTGTCAGGTCCACAGAGGACTGCTTTTGCATTTTGCCTCAATGACCATTTCAGGTCAATTTTATTTAAATAAAAAACTGTCAACCATATGGAGAGGTTGCAGTAACTGTATTTACCATTTCAGGGTGGGTGGAAATACACCCAGATGCCAAAACTGACACAATTGTCAGCAAAAGATTTTTAGGAGACTTCAAAGGATAACGTTTGTAAAGTCCTTCATTTGGATTCAGCAAAGATAGTCAAACATTTAATTAGAATGAAAAATAATTAGAGTTAATTAGAATAAAATTTAATTAGAATGAAAAATAAACCAACCCTAGAATTTAGACTAATTCAACTAAAGTGGTTGGATGGATTGCCTACATAGCTCATATGACAATCTTATGAAATCTATAATAAACAACAGACTCGGTTTTTCTCCTCAAGACACACTAAGAGAATGTCAATAAGGTTTCTGCTACTTCCCAGTGGCCATCCATAGAACAGTGATGTGCTAGATAAGATAACACTGTGTTAGAGAAAATCAAGTCAAATCATTTTCATCAAAGCTCTGAGAAGCTCTACCATTGATGCAGATGAGTGGCCCATTTCCAACCAAAAAGGTGTCATCTGTGTCATGCATCATTTCCTAACTCTCTCATGAAGAGTTTGACAGCATCCATACAACAAAATACAATGCTGAGTAATAACATCCCCCTGGATGGGGTCATAAGCTCTATTAAAGCAATGAAAGATCTAATCGTGCAATGCCAAACTACAACCAAACACATGCCTCATAGTCTCTTTAGTACAATTCTCTGTGCTTTTTTTCCCCCTTCATATTTTAAGTTTAAAGTTTTTCAAAGTTGCATTTTACCCACCTCATGGTATTAACCAATGGAATTCCAGTGCTTATCCCTGAAAGGTCATGCTTTCCTAATTGCTGGTGACAGCCTGCCTTACAAAGCTTCAGAAAAGTACAACTATTAGAAAAGTTAGGTCTCATAAAGTGAATGAGAATGACACAAAAGCAGCAACCCGACATGGAGATGTCTCTGGAAATATTTAACCCTGCTGTTTTTTTCTTTTTTTGTGGTGTTGGGGATTTATCCCAGGGCCTTGTACATTCGAGGCAAGCACTCTACCAACCCTGCTGTTTTCTACCATTAAAATGTTCTTAGAAATGTTATCTGTAACTACAACAAAAATCTTTTGACATACAGAGTTTTGAATTGGCTGGTATGTCCTAAGAAATGTAACTTGTAACTCTTCATAGTACATAATTCTTGGCTGTTTTATAACTTTTTTGCACTGATAATATTATTTAATGCTACAGGTACCCTACCCCCTCAGCACCCTACCCCCTTTTCTACCAATGATGAGGATTGAACCCAGAATCTCACACACTCTAGGCAAGCACTCTACCACTGAACTGTATCCCCAGTCCAATACTTCAGCTTTCTGAAAGGTAAGTTTCTTTGAGAAAGTTCTTTATTAAACAAGGAGAAGAGTTTTGGGGGTTTTCTTTTCCTCTTCTACTAAGGGTAAAATAAGTTTTGAGTTCTTAATTTAACTTAATTTATAGATTTGTTTCATTAAATTAATAAATAGAGCTGTGTGTTTGTGTGTGTGTACCAGGGATTGAACCCAAGGGCGTTTAACCACTGAGCCACACCCCCACACCATTTTTATATTTTTTATTTTGAGACAAAAGTCTCACTAAGTTGCTTAGGGCCTCACTAAATTGCTGAGGCTGGCTTCAAACCTTCGATTTTCCTTCCTCAGCCTCCTGAGCCACTAGGCATGCATCACCACACCTAGCTGTGTGTACATTTTTGACTTGCAAAATTTTATTTTTTTCAGAGCTGGAGTTTAAAATTCAATCTTATCATCTGTCCTATTAGGTAAATAAATCGGTATAAATTTCTTATTATTGATACAGTTAGACTTATTTCTACCCTAGTTTCTGCTCCTTTTGTCCTCCCTTACTACCATCTATTAGGCTTATAAGATAAATCTATATTCCTCAGTGCCCTCTTTTTAATTTCTGTGCTGTTTTAGAGTGACAGGTTGTTTTTCTTTTGGTAGTTACCCTCTTAACAAATGTTCAAAGCCTAAGTTATTCAGTATTCCTTTCCTCCTCCTGAAGATTACATGAATTTCAGTGAGTTTAATCACTACGTATTTCTGCTTTCCCTTCTCTTATTACTATTGTCATTAAGTTCCACATTAATTTTAAAAATCAATTGTTATGACTTTTGTTTTTATAGTCAATAGTAAATTTACTGTCACATTTTTCAATTTTTGTGCTCACCATTGTTTTCTGTATCCCACTTCTTTCTTATGGGTTCAATTTTCTTCTTCCTGAAGGGCATCTTTTAGTAGTATTTTGAAAATGAGGATTGCTGAGTGGTAAGTTTTCCCAGTCTTTGAATAAAAATGTCTTTTTCTCATCCAGTCTGGAGGGTATTTAGCTGGGTATGAAATTCTAAAATCACAGCTATTTTTTTTTCCTTAGCACTTATTTCTCCACTGTCTTCTAGTGTTGGTGGCTGATAAAAATTAGAAACCTGCTACAGTCAAATAACTGTTCCTTCACAGTGTATCTTTCTTTCTTTCAGTGGCAGTTTTTTTTTTTTTAATTTCCTTACAGTTACAACATAGTATACAGAAGTATAGATTTATCTTTCTTTCTTCTGCTGGATTAATTGTAGCACATTTTTAATCTGGGGACTTGGACTTCTTTCCATTCTTTTCAATAATTTCTATGCCACTCCTTCCATTTTGTTCTTTGGAAATCTTATTAGACAAATGTTGGTATTTCTCACTCTGTTCCAAGGTTTAACTGCTCTTTTCCTTAAAAAACAAAATCTGTTACACTGTGCTATATTCTGGATAAGAACATCACTATCTTCAATGCACTAGTTCTCTTTTCATCTATGTCCAGTCTATAATTTTGTGTTGTACTTTGATTATAGTTTTCATTTCCAAGATTCCCAATTCGGTGTCATCTTCAATAGTCTCACTGCATCTGCCTGTTTCTGTTTCCCAATTTGTTATTCTTTTTCAATGAACAAGAAAATCAGTTATCTCTGAGTATCCAATAAGTCTTGGTCAGGTTGTATATTTCATCTGGAATAAATATATGCATATTCCAACAGGTGATTTTGCTGGTGATCTTTCAACTGGATTCTTTATAGATTTTTCAAATTCTAAATAATCATCGAGTTTTGAATGAGCAGTTTTTCTTCTGTTAGCTTCTTTTTCCTATGTACAACCTCTCCTGTCTAGTGATTTTGCATTTGCTTCTACCAAGGCTCCAGGCCCAAGTCTGGAAACAGTTTTAATGATGACTTTTTGGAGCAGAATTTCAGGAGGTTTCATATATCCAGTGACCAACCAAGCAGATGAACATAAAAGTGTATCTTTGTTATCCTTAGGCCCATAACTTCCTGTAAGACCATAGGCCTTGGTAAAAGATTACTAATATTTTTTCTTAATTTCTTTTCAAAAGTAGATAAAATTCTACCCCAGCCCCCAGCTTCCAGCAGTGAATCTCGCTCTGGTTCCTGGTCTCACACTGAGCATATTTGGTCTCTGTTTGCAGTCAAATTCCTGGTGCCACCACCTGCTTTAGATAGAGTCCAATAGACTAAAGCTTCAGTTTCACTCATTACTTGGCATTTCTGGTCCATGACGATACTTATCTTGTTTCTGGAAGCCCCACTGTGTCTTTTTGGCATTCTCTTTTTATATTTTACCTGTCATTGCTATGTGCTTGGAGCAAAGGGAGTGAGTTGAAACATAAACTCAATGTGCATTTTGACTAGAAAAAGTTACATAATCCCTTAGCATTGTATTTGAACAAAATTACTCATTAAGAAGTATAAATAGATTAATAGGAAACATTAAAACCCCTTATTTGTACCTAATGATAAACTAATTACAAAATATTATTTTCATAAATGCATATTAAATCTTAATTTAAGGTTTAAAATGCATACACTTAAAAGCAATTAAGCTTCATTTACTCTAAAATAAGTCTACAAAACAGACTTAATGGAGAACCCCTTTCAGCTTTGAAATTTGTCCTATGTGTCCAAGGCAGAAATGAGACTTTTAAACTAATATTTGTCAGCTTTAACTAAAAGCAAGATAAGAAATAGTTCTATTGAACTTAAAAATGACTATCAGCTAGGAGGAGAAAAAAAAAAAAGAAAACAAGAGTATTTATAATTATTTCAGTGAAAAAGAAAAGATTTATACCTTTTCACTTGTTAAAAATTTTGCAAAATACACATGTTCGCCTCCTGTTTTCAATTCTTCCATCTTTTTCCTGGAGGCCTGAGTATCATCTAATTTATAACTCTTGAAAACAGCTAAAACTTCTTCAGAATACTGAAAAGTAAAAATATCAGTTAGTTTTATTGGGCATTGTTATCAAAAATTTGTCTAGTGCTTTTCTGTATAAAATACTTAGAATTTATTTCCAGTAAACCATATATGTATAATGTTAGGCACACTCTACAAGAAAAATTATGATAGCAAAATCATGGTAAAGACCATTTTGTATGAGATTTCACTATACTGTCAAAGTAGCGAAGAAGTTTCTCTTCCTGAAAAAATATGATTTCTTACAGTTTGAGAAAAAGGATGCTTTGAGAGTACAGTAGTCTCCTGGGATCCATTCATGGGTCTGTAACCAAATCTCAGGATGCTCCAGTTACTTTTATAAAATAGTGAACTATTTGCATATAACCTATGAATACTTCCTGTATACTTTAAATCATGTCTAAATTTCTTATAATGCCTAATACAATGTAAATGCTATGAAAATATTCATTATAGTATATTGTTTAGGTAATGACAAGAAAAAAGTCTGTATGTGTTCAATACAGGTGCAATTTTCCCCCAAGTATTTTCAATCTATAGTTGGTTGAATTCATAGATGTGAAACCTACTGATCTGAAGGGGTTGACTGTACACAGAAATTTACCAGTGAAATTAATTGTTTAACCAGCTATGGAAATTCTCAAGCATTTCTTGTGCTAAGACTGTAACCAAACAAAATAATGATGTCAAGTTCTATCCAGCTAGAAGACAATTCCTTAATAATTCTCGCTAACCACTTAATGTGAATTTGGATGGTACTATCCCTTCTAAATTATATTAAAAAATGAAAACTATTTTTAAAAAACTATTCAAAACACAAAACACACTCTGTGCTACTTTCAGAGCTACCTTCATATCCTGGATTTTGATTAGAACAAAAAAGGACAACTAATCTTTAGCAAACCTTTTCTGTAAAGGACTGAACAGTAATTAGGATAGGCTTCATGGCCCATGATAGTGTCAGTTGCAACTACTCAATTCTGCCAGTACAGTGCAAAAACCACCACAGATAAATGAGTGGTCATGGCTACAATACAACAAACCTTTGTTTCTAAAGCAGTTGGCTGATTTGGCCCTAGGCTGTAGTTTAAATACCCCTTTTTAAATAGGATAGCTAAAATAATTTTGTGCAAAGACCAAATGTATTCTGAAAATGAAATAAACACTTTACGTTGATAATAATCATTATACAAAAAAAAACCTTCAAAATTTTCATTACTAACTTTTATATTCCCAAGTCACTTTTAAGCCACTCCAAAACTTGGCAATTTAAATATTAATTTACAATTTACCTTCTGTATATTATATAATAGGCATAAAAATATTAGAGGCAAAATTCTATAATCAAAAGTATGCCAGACAAGATTAAGTTTTATCTCAGCCATTAGATGTAAAGTAATGGGCTTTTAACAGTAGGGAGATTCTTTGGAAAACTGGGAATGGAACCACCATTTGACCCAGCTATCCCACCTCTCGGTTTATATGCAAAGGGCTTAAAAACAGCATACTACAGTGACACAGCCACATCAATGTTTATAGCTGCACAATTCACAATAGCAAAATTGTGGAACCAACCTAGAAGCCTTTCAGTAGATGAATGGATAAAGAAAATGTGGTATATATACACGATGGAATATTACTGCATTTGCAGGTAAATGGATAGAAGAATATAATATAGGAGAATATAATGCTAAGTGAAGTAAGCCAATCCAAAAAAAGACCAAATACTGATGTTTTCTCTGAAATAAGGATGCTGATTCATAATGGGGATGGGGGAGTGGAACATGGGAGGAACAGGCCAACTTTAGACAGGGCAAAGGGGAGGGAGGGAGCATGGGAGTAGGAAAGATGGTGGAATATGATGGACATCATTACCCTAAGTACATGTATGAAGACACGAATGGTGTGACTCTACTTTGTATACAACCAGAGACATGAAAAATTGTGCTCTATATGTGTACTATGTGCATCGAATTCTGCGATCATATAACAAATTAGAATGCATACAATAAAAAAAATAAAATCTCCAATACTACTAAAAAAAAAAAAGAGAGAGAGAAAAAATAACGGCCTTTTGATAATCTGTAACTAGCAACTTACCTTGAGAAAAGTTTTCCATGAAATCTTCTCATAGCATTGCACTGGGTTCCTGAAGTAATCCTGAAGTGACCAGAATTTTCTATATAGGTTGTAATCGATTGGAATGGAACTAATAAAATAAATGTTACATTAAATCATTTAAATTATTTTACAAATATGTAAATGTTTTTAACTCTACTTGTGTCACAAATTCTATGCAGAAGCTCATGAAAGCCATGGCCTCTTTCCTCAGAAATGTGCATATTCACAAATAATTATATACATTTTTGTCAGGGATGGTTACTGGGAACTGAACCCAGAGGTGCTCTACCATTGAACTACTGCATCTCTTTTTATTTTGTACACTGAAGAAGGGTCTCGTTAAGTTGCCGAGGCTGTCCTTGAACTTGCAATCTTCTTGCTTTAGCATCTTGAGTAGGTGGAATTAATTTGAACACACGGGTATTCTGAATACTATGTTTTCTGCTTCTCTTGCTGCTAAGGGAAAAATCAGTTGGGAGGACCCACAAGGGCAACTTTTGAGCCACATTTTACCATCTGCCTTTTCTGCTTCCTTAAGACTCAAATGAGATGTAAAGGTGCCATGTTGTAATATATAAAAAAAGGCAAACACCAAAGTGTGGTAGAACAAGAAATTAGAAGACATTTGGGTTTCTAGACAACTTAAGTACTGCCCTCCAAGTCCTGAACTGCCTGGAATTTGGACATGGGAAAGAAATTTCTATATTGTTTAAACGAATGTTAATTACTTTGAATCTATGTTAAACACTACAGGCATTAGATCTTAATATACTAAATTAATAAGTCCTAATGAGTCAAACACAGAAGATATACATCAAGATAGTAACATAAAAATAAGCCCTTTCCTGGTGACTTTATGGCATTATTAAGTCACATATCATCAGGCCGTACAAATCTTTGGTGGTGAAAGACGTTGTTTTAATTTTTAAATTTACAATCAATCAATACATTATAAAATGTTTTAATCTTTAATGTTGAACAAAGCTTTCAGACTTTTTAACCCAAGAAATTATTTTTAGTAAAATCCTCTGTATCACTCAAAACAATCAATGAAATTTTTTTGTATTACTCATATCAAAAATGGCTTCTGGTATCATCATTGTATAATGGATGAGGAATCATCATGTATTTCATATTCTCAAATAGTCACAAAATTTTTCAACATTATTTCTACAGAATTAATTATCTATACGAACAGTTATGGACTATTTTATTCCATTCTTTCAAAATAAACTTAAGTAAGCTGAATCTATTTCACTCAGCTTCATGTCCACAAAAATATTCCAAGTAAGATTATAATTTTGTATGGGAAACAAAGTTGGTTTAGTCATCTACAACAGAATCATTATGTTAAGAACTGCGTTCTGACCAATAAAAGGAAGTAAATTCATCCCCTAGTCTTTATCTTTTGGAAAGATATACTTAAAATTACTTTTTCAGATATTAGGGGCACATGAGGGGAAATATTATAGTGCATTTAAAAGATTATGCTAAATAACAGCATGCCAGGCCACAGTGGCTCATGCCTGTAATCTCAGTAGCTCAGGAGGCTGAGGCAGGAGGATTTTGAGTTTAAATCCAGCCTCACAATTTAGCAAGGCCCTAAGTAACTCAGTGAGATCCTGTCTCTAAAGAAAATATAAACAAGGACTGGGGATGTGGCTCGGTGTCCCTGGGTTCAAACCCTGGTGGTGAGCGCACACGCGCAAGCACGTACACACACACATACACACACACACACACCAGCATAATTTTTACCACATACTTATTAACACATTTTTTGGGTGCGGGGAAGGGTTAATGTTTGAAAGTCTGTAAAATGCTTTAGTTTTTTTTTTTTTGTATATAAATAAGGAGATTAGAATAGAAATGTATAAAACCACTATAAGTCTAAAATTAGTTTTCTACAAAAGTTTGAAAAGATAGGGCAAGAAATAGTGGTCACAAAGTTCATGCACTTAACTGATTTACAACAATAAGATTATACCTCTGAGTTTTCTATGGGTAGAAGAGACACAACAAAAACAATTTCCAAAACATGAAAGGAAATTGGAAAATAAAAAAGCATTATACAAATTATTTGTATCCATGAAATACCAAGAACCAATATTTGTATACATTTAATAATGAATATTTTTTAAACAAAACTGCTTTTAAAGATTATATCTCTATGTGTGTGTGTGTGTATATATATGTGTGTGTGTATATATATATATATATATATATATATATATATATATACTCAGAGATTACTCAGAGATTAAGACAGAATATAATAAATACATCTTGAAATAAAATATGAGGAAAGTTTGAAGAAAAATGAAAGGCAACCTCTTACAGAGAGAATCACATAACCATTTTGTCACTTTTTTGTCTCAACTGGTAGAAGTTCACATCTAATTTAATGCTTGACAACAATAACAATCTTATTTCAAGCTGCTAATCAATTTACTTGTAAAGATTTCTGATTTATCCCTTTATCTTTAATTGGCTTGGTATGTATTTGAAGTTCCATAGAATCTATTTTATTTTTTATTTTTTGTGGTGCTGGTGATCAGTCAACTCTCAGGCCCTTCTGTATGATAGACAAGGGCTCTACTACCAATCTATAACTCCAGCCTCAGAATCAATTTTAAGGTAGTACTAATATATTAATATGCTACTAATTATTAGTATTATGCTAATAGTATGCTATTAGTATTAGCATACTAATATATTCATATATATTAATACATATTCCTTATATATATCAATATATTAGGAAATTTTCATAATTGAGATGCTAATATATTTTTTAATCCCCCCTCCCATTGATAGCTATATTTCCTGTTAGATGCCTTCCTCTTTTCCTTCATGGATAGATAAATTTTTTCAAAGAGTTGTCTAAACTCTATGTTACCACTTTATCACTTTTCATTCATTCCTCAACCCACTGCAATTTCTTTCACCTTTACCATTCCACAAAAATTTTTGGATTTTCTTATCCACATCAAGAATATGTAGCTATTATACTTGTAAACAGTAACAAATTAGAAGTGACAGTTACTATCTAAAACTGAATGTCTAAAGCTGGGCACAGTGAAATGCAATTGTAGTTCCAACTGCTGAGGAAGCTGAGGCAGGAGGATCACTTGAGCCTAGGAGTAGCCTGGGTAACACACCTCAAAAGAAAAAAAAGAAAAACAGGAAGAAAGAAAAAAGGCATAGCTATTTTACCAAAAATAAAACTTGATTAAAAAAACAAAACAAAACAAAACTATTGAGCTATTTTATAGGACTTTACATGTTGGAATTTTAACACAAAAATTTTTATTGATGTCTTTTTGAGTCAAATGTGAAATAGACCTCATGTTGTAGATGTCCTGCTTTGTAAATCATAGTGCTTAATACCATATACTGATATACCCACTAAGTAATTCCCCACACGCTTTGCTCATTCAAAAAGTAGTTGACTGCAATAGACAGATGGGAAGCGGTGTGCTGGGTCCTCTCTAAGGGATTCTTCTGTAGCTGGCACTAATCTATGACCTTAACTAATAGAGTTGAATTGTCTCCATAGGCCTAGGCAGCATCCAACCAGCTGTGTCTTGGGGCCCTGTTTAGTCTGGTCCACCCTATTATCCATAATGCACATGAACAATTAGGTTTCTAAAAAACTACTATAGCTGCTGGGTGTGGTGATGTATATGTGAATCCCAACAATGCTGGAGACTGAGGCAGAAAGATTGCAAGTTTGAAGCCAGGTCAAAGTCCATGTCTCAAAAAAGGGCTGGGAATGTAGCTCTGTAGTAAAGCATCCCTGGGTTCAATTCCCATGTCCCACAAAACAAACATCATCAACAACAAAAAACTGTAGTTAATAGCTAGCTACAAAACACTGGATGGACACTGTTCTAAGTGCATTATATTTTCCACTTTATGTAATGTCAACAATTATAGTAATAACAATAACCTAGTGCCTTAGCAGGCCTTTTCTGATCATCAGCTTATTTAATCAACAACTACAGTGAGTTGGTGGCATTATAATATTTTAAAGATACGGAAATTTGAGTTGTAGGGAGATTAAGTAATTTGCTCAAGGAAATTGGGAAGTATTGCAGTTAAGCCTGGAACTACACTACTTCTAGATATTGCTGCTGGGTTTGTGTCTGAATTTGAAATTTGGGATGCCAGGAATGTATCTTTCTGTGCAGATAAAGCAGTTCCCTCTTCATCATCTTGATGATAACAATGCAGATTTTTTTAATTACAACTACTAATAATTTCCATTGCCTCAGACACCTAGAAGTGCTAGTGAAAGTAAGTTTTCCTACATAGTTTAATTACAACTACTAATAAGAGAAAACTACTTTTTCTCTTCCTCACTGTTTCTAACTAGCCACAGTAAAGAAATTATTTGGAAGAAAAGCTCAAGGATACAGGGATGAGAAAAGACATAGTAATAAGAGACAGAAGGGGAGAGAAGATGTTATTGTCTCTTCCATTTCATAAAACATCAGTGTAATACCCACAGGTATCAGGTCTTCAAGTTGAATGGAAGGGGACATGCTCTTAGGTTGCCACTGACTGGCTTTTCAAATGCTGGGAATAAGCATAAAGTAGGCACAATTCCAAAATCAATAGATACATCCAATTACTGATTTAGGATTTAAGCCATATATATGAAAGTTACATATAAAACAAATCTATAAGCATAATTCCCTTCCTCCAAGTTTATATCCTCACTCTAGTACTTGGTAAATCATTAAGGAATTATCTTTTTCAAATCAAGAAATCTTGAGCTTAAAAACTCACCATGTTGTTGGAGCTTCATCATCTCCCATTTCACCTTCTTCTACATCCATCCCTTCTTCTCTATCCTCAGTGTGCTAAATTTTAAAAAATGGACAGCCTGTCATGAAGTAGTTATCAGGCAGAAGATAAATACTAGAAATAATAGGTCACATACATACTGACAGACAATTATTATTAGAGAATTCTGGTTGTAGTAACATCCCAACATATAATCTTTAAGACAATAGGAATTTTATGTGACAGGAATCCAAAAACTAAAGAGCACTATGAAAATGACATAACATAGGTATGAAGACATAGTAAAAATATTTAAGCCAGTTTTTTTCTCAAAATAGGTCAACAGGTTCTCTGGAAAAAAATGGTTTATAGCTAAATGTTTTGTAAATACATACAATGACAAAAACAATTCAACAGTGAAATGGGCAAGTTGCATGAAGAAGCAATTCTTAGAAGAAAAATAAATTCCAGTTCTTCAACTCTAATAATAATAATCAAAGAAATATAAATTAATACAAAGAAGATATTTATATCACGTAAACAAAGATTTTGAAAAATCAAAAATTCCCAGTGTTGGTGTGGTTGGGAAAATGGGAAGACATTCTCCACTTGTCACTGATGGCAGTATAAAACTGGTATAATCTTTTTGAGAAGTAACTGGGCAATAGCTATAAAAATTTGAAAGTTGTATAGATTTTGACCCAGCAATTTTATTCGCCTAAGGAGACACCTGCAAAATTTAGCAATGATATATGCAATACTATTTACTGTAATGCTATTAGTAGTTTTTACAATATTTGAGATTACCTAAACGTCTAATGATGTGGAATTATGATATACCCATTTAAAGACTTTTCATGAACCATTTAAATGTACTGATGCAGAAATACATCAAAAGAATAAAATAATTTAAGAGCAGTATGTGTTATATAACCTAATTTGGGAAAAACACAACATAAGTTTGTGTATATATATAAAAAGGTTACATGGAGAATATTCTGAATGATTGTAGAAATAATGTGTATTCTGTGTAAAACAATTCAAATAAGGGGCTGGAGTTGTGGCTCAGTGGTAGAGTGCTTGTCTGGCATGTGTGAGGCACTGGGTTTCATCCTCAGGCCCACAAAAAAAATTTTTTTTTAATTAAAAAAAAAAGGGTATTGGATCCATATACAACTAAAAAATAATTTTAAAAGCCCTCAAATAATGTTTAAAATAGAAGTGTAGCTACTCCATAGTCAACCTTAGACTTAGATTATGTAGTAGATATAGTAGTAATTTAAATTACTACATAGCCACTGTATAAATCCACTGCAACAGAAAAACAGATATTCTATAATCTACCTTAAATTACAGATTAGCTATACTTTCTATTTTAAATATTGTTTGAATTTTTTAATACAAATACGTATTATTTTTATAAATTAGAAATAAAGGTTTTCAAATTTTTGATGACTTAAAAGTCTTGTTCATATGAATTATTTTAACAACAAACTTATAGAGATGTTCTGTGAGGTTTTATATCAGTCTCACCTTTTGACCCAGCGTGCTTTCTTGCTCATTGGTATTGAAAACAGTGACATTTTCCAGATTAAACTGACTCTGCAAGTTAAGACCTATTAAAAAAAAAATTAAGATTTTCAAAGCAAATCCACTGACAACTAAAGTTGTGTAAGAATATAACTCATGTCAAAGAACCAAAACACATAAAATGCTGAATCTATAATTAAACAAAAGATCAAGTCAGAAATAAAACCATGTCAGACCCACTGACAATCTGTAATTCCTGCTACAGCAGAGATGCTTAAGAAAGACACACGTACACACATGCATTCAGTAGAAAATGAGCACCGTCTTTACTTTTTTCTCTCCTTCTTTTATACAGCATTGTTAATTAAAACAAGGGGAAAGAAAAAAACATCCTTTCGTCAGCTTAATCCTTACAAGCTTGAATAAACATTCTCAGGAAAACTTTGTTTATGGTCACAGTGCTCCATATTTCTTAACTAACTTGTGGTTAGTTATTCCCAGGCAAACACACACATATATATAAATTTTACACTTGGCGGAACCTTCTTTTCTCCTATCTTCTTAAGACAGCAACAAGGACACAGTTCAAAGAGTTCATACTTTCTCACAGAACTCTTTGTTTTGCTAAGTACAGAAAAACTTAACTGTTTGTGTGCATGAGCTCACAAAACCACACTTGGTTTTCACATACATACTTTCTAAAACTCTTATTTTGGGGGTGGGGGGTAGGGAGAGACAGAGTTTCACTATGGTACCCAGGCTAGTCCTGAACTTCTGAGCCAAGTGATCCCCCCACCTCAGTCTATAGGGACTATAGGCATGTGCTACTATACCTGCTGTCTAAAATTCACATCTTAAAGATTCCCCTAGGATTCACAGGGAATTTAGTGAGACAATATAATAGATATTTAATCAAAAATACAAAAAGAGATACAAAGAGGCATATAGAATATCTGAAGCAACACTGGATAAAATTTTTATAAGTGGGGAAAAAACACTAATGTACAGATTTTAAAGATGCCCACAAATCCTGTGCAGGATAAATAAAGAAACTGAGACAAAGATGCATCATTGTAATACTGAAGAAAACCAAAGAAAAAGAAAATATTAAGATCAGAGAAAAAAAATCTATATTATAATCCCAAAAGTTAGATACCTGATTTGTCTATAGAACAATGAAAGACATGAGATAAAATCAAGGCTATTTCCCATGAGATGAAATCTTACATCTAGGGCTAACCTAGAATCTGAAATCATGTACAACCATTCTATAAGAATAAAGGAGAGCCAGGAGTGGTGGAATACGCCTATAATACTAGTAACACTGTTGGCTGAGACTGGAGGATCAAACTTTGAAGCCAGCTTCAGTAACTTAGCTAGACCCAGTCTTCAAACAAACAAAAAAAAAAGGACTGGGGATTTAGCTCAGTGGTTCCCTAGTACCACACACACACACCCATCCCCCCCCCCAAAAAAGGAAAAGAAACAACACGATGGTACACATCTACATACTTTAGCGTGATTCAATGGCATATTATTATTAATAAGTTGAAGAATCTATGATTGGTATAACTGTTTACAAGTAAAAGAAAATACAATAACAATTTTCTATACTATTTTTTAACTTTGGAACCAGTATTATTATTATAATAAATTCAATCCAGTAGAAACTAGAAAATTTCCTGCAAATAAGTTATTTATTATATAAAAACTTACCTGATTTCTCAGATAGAGGAAAAAGTCTGGCCAAAAAGAGTTGAATTCGTCCACAGAAAACTGTATTCTGAGATTTAGATAATCTTCTTAGAAGATCTAACAATACAGAGAAATAAATGTTACACAGAATGTGTCTAACAACAATATCTAACTTTCTTAACCAGTTTGTTATGAATGTTTTCTAAAGAAATGATTCTCAAAATGGGGAAGAAACCATTGTCATAAAAAGTACTATCAGCAACAAAACAAATTCAGCATGGATAAGATAACTTTAGTACATTTTTCTGACTTTCATAGTTTGCATCTAGAAAAGAGCTTCAAGTTAATGATCAGTTTTAATAAATCAGAGACTGTTTCCTAAAAAGGAAGATACTAATGTCTATCTTTAAAATGTTACCACTGAAGAGGAACTGGGAAACAAAAACTGACCAAATTATGAATATGCAACAACAAACCCACTATTATATATAATTATAATGCATCAATTAAAAAAATAGCAAACAACAACAACAACAAAAGACACCAATGTTATCACTGGTATATAATTCAACCACACATTTTTGTGACCACATTTACATTTTTAAAAATAATCTTTTTTTCAATTAATTACTTACCATTGCACATCCGCAATAAATAATTCTTCCCAGCAGAATAGAATGTACTCTGGAATTAAGACAGATATTATTAATTTTTCTTAAGAAGATGTCATATCCCCTTCAATAATAAGTCATAGGAAGTAAAATATTAATGAACACTGAGAATGTACTGTGCTGTCATTTTTGTCAAGCTAATAACATTTTCAGAGAAATAAAAATATTTTCAGGTATATAAAATAACACTAAGTATCTGCTATAAACATCCAAAAGTATCTTTAAGTTAATTTTTACTACTCAATCAAGTTTTACACTCAAATTTTTCTCCATATGGTTCTTATTTGGCTCTCTCAAAAAAGTACAAGATATAATTCTTTCATAGGGACAAACTTTTGGCAATAAACAATATTAGAAATAGAAGCAAAAAAAAAAACTATTCTCTGAAATTGGGATCTATTCAGAGATAATGTTAACAGGGAAAAGAAACTAAAGCACTTACTGATTTCCATGTAGCAACATTTTTTTCCACAAAAGTGAATATTGTGTCACATTGATCCAAAGGAAGACAATCCAAAACATCTCCCAGCAATACAAAAGGTGTAGATGCAGTACATATACCTTCATTGGAACACAAACCAATTTATAAGTTTGCCTCAAGAATGAGCCACAATCCCAGCCCAACACATCAAAGTTTTATAGGGACAAGAAACAAAAAGCAACCTAAAGTCCAAAATAGACATACTTAAGTAATTTTTGATATGTGCACTCTGTGATACAGTAGTTTTTTCCAATAACATCTAGAGCATTTACTATGGCAGGCACACTAAGAGCTTTAAATTTGCTAACATTTAATTCTTATAACCTTATGAGATAATTCACATTATCTTCATTTTATAGAATGGGAAAACTGAGACACAAAAAAGCTAAATAACTTGTTCAGGATCTCAGAGCCAATAAATGGTAGAGCTGGGATAGGCAGTCTGGCTCCACATTCTGTTCTCTTCACCACTAAGCTATTTGAGTGAATATAATTCAATTAAAAACAATGGTTATGATGACAACAATAATTTGGAAAAGTGCTTTAAGTGAAAAAGGTAGGATTCAAAATTGTATGAGTGTATCACAATAAATGTTTTTAAAAGACCAGAAAAACTATAACCACATACCAAAATAAATGGTAGCTTTTATAAGGAGAATTAGGACTAGGATTTTCCCTTTTTCCTCATCTGAATGTTTTGTAATGTTGCTAAATTATCTTTGATTTAAAAAGATTATCTTCAAAAAAAAAAGATGAAAAGGTGTGATTTAGTTTCAACTATGATTTAACATTTAAAATAACAGTATTGTTTCAAGGAAAAGTGATTTTAAAAAGTTAGTTTGTCTCTAAAGACAATGTTAAAGCTTTAAAGATTTTTCTTAACAGATCATTCAGACTATCTAAAAATACTTTTATATCCCTACTCATTCTATTTTCCATTTTAAGATAACGGTACTAACACTGTGTTTTAAAAACGTACATTTACACATGAGAGGGGGAAAAAAAAATCTAGGGGCATAGTAAGCCCAAACTACTGCATCGAATTACAGTAGATGGGGTAGAGAGAGAAGATGGGAGGGGAGGGGAGGGGGGATAGTAGGGGATAGGAAAGGTAGCAGAATACAACAATTACTAATTGGGCATTATGTAAAATTGTGGATGTATAAGCGACGTGATTCTGCAATCTGCATTTGGGGTAAAATTGGGAGTTCATGACCCACTTTAATCTAATGTATGAAATATGATATGTCAAGAGCTTTGTAATGTTGTGAACAACCAATAAAAAAAAATAAAAAATTAAAAAAAAAATAAAATAAAAATAAAACTCAAACAACTACAAACCATGTAAACCTAAGAAGTTCTACTCCCTGCTTTCTTTACAGAGCACATTTATGTTACTCATGTAAATATCATTATAAAATTTTAGGCATAATAAATATTTATCAGAGTATTATAACACATTCTGAAAATTCACCTGTAATCACAAGTAAAAAGGAATACAAATTAACTTCAACTGATAAAACTACTACAAAAGAGACAAAAAAAAAAATATGTCCAGAAAAAGGAAGCAATATTTCGAGCTCTACTCTGTACTACTATGGCATCAGGAATGCAATGTGAGAATACTGCCTAGAACCAGTGGGTGGCTTAAGGCAGCATATTTCAACTCATCACAAGGGTTGAAGTAATAAGAACTAACAGGACACCATCAATGTGTGGTCTAAGAGAAGCTACACAACCACCTATCAGGGAAGTTACAGTAGGGAGGCAGAGTAGGCCAGAGATAAGAGATTAGATTAGATGACATTAAAATCTTAATGAAACTTGGACTCTGTGATACTGTAGATCCAAGAGGAATATTCTCTTCCCTTTGCACAGTGTAGTCTGTAACACAAGCAATAATTATAGAACTTAAGAAAATTATCTGTATTCTACTGTCAAAAAATATAAGTCAACAGAACTAAGCAAGGGCTTGGGAATTTAATTTAAAAATAGAGAATGGCTCATGGTGATTCTGATGAGCTGGCAGGCACGGGAACCATTGGGTTATATGATCTCCGAGAACTTTCATAGCCTGTATGCCAGCTTCCAGGCCAATTTCTCTGATTATCTTAACACTGGCCACAGATACCCCTCTCTCTAGTTTCTAAATGTTCACATTCCCATGGTTTTGCTTATCATTTTTTCTGCCTAAACAGTCTTCCTTCTCTTTATTATGAAGCAAATTTTGACTCTACCTTTCAAAGCATATAGTAGATGTTAGCTCATCTAAAAGACTCCCTTGTATCTTTAAGCAGACTAACTCATTGATGCTTCTGAAGCATACCGTACATAAATCTCCTATAAGATATCCAAACTAATAACCTTTGCAAAAGATCTAACTTTTAAAGGGTAGGCATTTTGTATGTTTGCACTAGTAAATATCTGATACGGAAGAAGCTCAGTAAATATCCATTGAATTGAATTAATTTATTTATGAACAATCTTAAAATATGTCACATAAATAATACTCTCTCAAGAAGAAATGTTCTCTTCAAATAAAATAAAAATGCACCTGAGACTTTATAGTTTAAGTTCATAAGTCCTCACCTTTCCCAATTAAAGTTCTAAGTACAGGCACCGTATAACTTCAAGTGTAAAAGTATCACCAGTCTCGTAAGAGTAATACAATAAGTTAATAAATAAACTAAAAACACACTATAAACTGTTTGATAAAAAAATAGGCAAGGAACACTGCACTGTGAAACTCATTTAAGTATGTCTAATGAATGAATAAATTTTAGGCACCCTGTATAAAAAGTTTGACTGGTAAAAGTAGAACTTACAGACTTAAGTTCACAAAATAGCTTGCTGTAACACTGGAAGGCCGCTTTTACCATGCATGTTCCAGGTTTTGTAGAAATAGATATTAATATGTGATATGTATAATGCTTTCTATATTAAAAACCAGTTTTCACATGTTATCTGAATAAATCAAATAAGTATTTTAGCCAAATGGTTAAAGAATGCTAATAAACTATTTTTCATTTCTTTTTTCTGAAGATATTTAATTATTATGTTCATAGTATTAGTTCCTTAATAGAAGCTATATGTATTAGGCACTGTGTACTTACTATGCACTTTGTTTATCTAAGGGTTCTTTTTTTGAGGGTGGGGAAAGTACCAGGGATTGAACCCAGGGGTGCTTAACCACTGAGCCTCATCCCCAGCCCTTTTTTATATTTTATTTAGAGAAAAGGTCTTGCTGAGTTACTGAGGTTGGCTTTGAATTTGCCATCTTCCTGCCTCAGCCCCCAAGCCACTGGGGTTATAGGCATGCACCACCAGGCCTGGTTTACTTAAGATTTCTAAAAACTATCTTATACCATTTACTGCCCTATTTTAATAATCTCCTGTCAGTATTCTCTCTCTATCAAATTATTCTTCTCCAGCTGCTCTTCAATATGGCATACAAAGTCCTTTACAAATGACCTTAATCCACCATTCCTGCTTTTTTCCTTATCATTCTCACTATCTTCTCACCCTCCTACTCCACACAGTTCTCTAGACATGTTGAACTTGGCTCTTTCCTGTTTCTGATGAACTCATCATCTATTACATTTCAGCTAGAATGTTAGTTTCCATTCTAAAACCTTTCCTGATTCCTTTAGATTCTAAAATTTAGGTAGGCTTGGTGGCACATGCCTGAAATCCCAGAAGGTGGAGGTAGAAAGGTAGAAAGTTTGAGGCCAGCCTGGGCAACTTAGAAAGACCTGTCTCCCCAGTAGCAAAAAAAAAAAAAAAAAAAAAGGAAAAACAATCTAAAATTTAAAGTTACTCTTACTTTATTCCCTCCAACCACACTTCATTCCCAGTCAACCACAGTACTTACATCACAGTAAGATATTTAAGTATTTATATTTACATCTGTTTCCTCCATTACTCATTAGTTCCATATAGGTGGGGCATATATGTTATTCACCACTGAGTCTCCAAATCCTAAATTAGTACCAGGCACATAGTAGATGCTCAATAAATATTTATGGAATGAATGAAACAAATGGAGAATAAAGAAAGTGACAAAATTTGTACTGTAGAGATGAGAAACAAGTGTGGATTAATTTGATTGGGACAAATTTTTGGCAATAGTGGGTGTGAGGCAAAATTTGAAGAATGAACAAAATCAGACACAGAGGTATGAGGAAAACATGTCATGTCCAATATAACTTTGAAAAACAAAACCAAACCATACTTACCTTCAGTTACTCCCCCAATAGCAAGAGAAATAATAGCTAAAACGTTTTCACATGATGAATGATTTATCTACCAACAGAGGAGAAATAATTTAATTTAGGGACAAGAGTTCAGACTAACTAATTTGATAACAATAAAAACATGTCCTCTGACATTACATTGATTATCACAAATATAGAACAAAATATTCCATATAGGAGATAAAAATATTTTCTAAGATGAAAATTCAAAACATGAACAGTCCTATACAGAATTAATAATTCTAGCAAAATGTCAACTAAGTAATAAGCAAGTGACTCACTAAAAGTCCAATGGTCTCAGAAAATGGTTACATTACTATGACTAAGACCATAAGCTAACCAAACACAGAAGTGCTAAGGCTAAAACTCAATCAAAGGCAAAAGCAGGGCTAGGAGAATAGTAATACTTGTGCACTGTACGTCTGAGGAAGGGTTTAACAGTATGTAGTACTTGGGGACTATAAAATCATAATAGCCAGCATTTACTGACTGTTCACTATGTTGTTTTACACAACACTGAAAGAATAGTATTTTTCCTCTTACAAACGAAACTGAAGCTCCAAAAGGGAAGTAACTTTCCCAATGTCTCATAATGAAAAAGTGAGTCAGTCTGAAGAACAAGAAAGAATCAATTTGATGCAGAATTGTCTGAGAAAAAGGGATCCTATATTATGAACACTAAAAGAGAATCAAGCTCTTTGTGATTCAACCTTTGCTTGATCAAGAATATGCCACTCAAATTTTTTATTTCATTTAGAAGACTCACTAACAGCAAATAAATTCAGGTTCTCCATGGTTAAATTAAATTTCTTTATTGAGAGAAAAGCCTTAGTTATGTACATAAGCTTACTGACAGGGAGGATGTCAGAAGAAAATGAGGACATGAAATTCTAGTTCTTAAGCTGAATATCCTTAGACAAGACCTTTCATGTCACAACAGAATGTGCTACTATTCATACAGCAGTGAGACAATCCCACCTCCAACCACTCTAGTTCTAGCTCACCATGACAGCATGTCAACCTCTGCATCATCAAACCCTTAAAATGTACCAGCGCTATCAAAATCCTTCATCATGACAATACTCTTATTCTATCAAGTCAGCTTTCACAGGCAGTAAGCCCACACTAGGGGAAAAAAGTCCTGTATAAATATCCATTCTAAGGATAAAAGCAATTTTCTAATAGCATTTAAAAAAAATTTGACAGTAAAATTTTAACAATGAATAAAAGAAAAGCATACTTACAATTTCTTCTTCTAGAACACCTCTGAAAGCTTGGTCAAGTGTACATTTTTTTTCATTTTCACTATTAAAAACAAAAAAAACACTTGTTTTTTACATAATGCAGCATAAGTATAAATATGCAGGCAAGTCTTTTTCATGGACAATAATGCCTTACCTGCCAGGTAACTGGCTGAAGGTACATAATAATGGCTTGATATTTTTGTTGTTCAAGGCCTCTCTGGTAGATTTCTAGAAAAATAGAAATGGCAAATAATTGGAAATATTTTTCTTATTATTTATTGAAAAATATATTATTCATCAACAGTATGTCTTTCTCACAAAGACAGATTTGTACGTGGGAAAAATTGCTTACCAGTCATTTTCTTAGTAGTTTTTCTTTTCTTTTCTTTTCTTTTTTAATGTTTTTTTAGATGTTGATGAACCTTTATTTTATTCATTTATTTATATGAGGTGTTGAGAATTGAACCCAGTGCCTCCCACATGCTAGGCAAATGCTCTGCCACTGAGCCCCAACCCCAGCCCCATAGTCTTTATTTCAAATGTCACTTCATAATACAGGGTCCTCATGATTTTAAATCTGGTAAGAGCTTCCAGCTAGACTTTTTTTTGTGAGTTTCCCCTCCTCCTCCTTTTATTTTTCTTTCTTTTCTTTTTGGATACAGAATCTGGCTATGTTGCCCAGGTTGGCTAGACCCTGTGGGCTCAAGCAGTCTTATAGCATCAGCCTCCCAAGTAGCTGGTACTATAGGTGCCCACCACCTCACTGGGCTCCTTCTTACTCTCTCTTTAAATATCACACTCATGAGCATATGCTTTTCTTTTTTTTTAATTACATATGGTTCCTTATTTACATTTTGGATTTGAAGTTTCATAACTCCCTCAAGATCCTTGATAATACTATCCTATCCAGTCCACCCAACCTTATATCCCACTACTTCCTATGACATGCTCTCCACTAAAGTCTGACTACTTTTTCATTAATTCCTGTCAAACTTATTCTAGTGTTACACATCCATGCTGTTCTTCCCACCTGCTTATGCAAATTCTATCCATTCTTCCAGACCTATCTTAAGTCCTTCCTCCTCTAGGTACTTCACTCAGCTCAGTCTCAAGATGCATAGTAAGCAACCGATCATAATTTAGAGACAAAAATATTGCAAAGCCTTTCTTCTGTGTAAATTCATATGTATTTGGAAAGTCATTGTATTACCTCATAGGGAGCTGGATTTATACTTTAAATGCCCATGCCGGGCTCTTACACTAACCAGCTGTGTAACTTCAGGCATATCCCTTTATCTCCCTGTGCTCCCTTTTCCTCACCAGTAACATAAAAGGGTTGTTGTCCTTACTATCATCACCAGCTTGTTAGAAATGCAGCTGTCCCCATTCCAGCCTTACTAAATCAAGATCAATTTAATATTCTCAAGTGATATCACTCAATTAAGCTGGAAAAGCACGGGACAGATAATTCAATTAAATGGTCCCTTTCAGGGTAAATGTGATTGAAGTTAAACGATTCTCATGACATAAACAAGGCATAATTCATAAAAACAAAATACACTGTTATGGGGGGGGGGAAATCTTGCAAACATAAAAACTACTGACTACAAAGATTCTTCTTTCTTTCACATAATTTTCAACCTGGCAATATTACGATTACCAAAGCACAAAATATCTGAGTAGTTGAATTATGCCTTGAAATATTGGTATGAACAGTAGAGACGAATACAGCGAAATGACCTGGAACAACGATCTTAACACATATATTTCTGTGATGGGCAATATAAAAAGGACAGTAGATCCTGAAGTTAGAAAAATCTGAGAAGTCACCTAACTTTTTGGAGGATCTCGGTTTCTATATCATGTACCAGAGATAATAAAAATAACCCATTTAGTGTTATCTATCAGTTAAATGAAGTAACATGAAAGTGTTACTTTTCGAAATGCTCAAACTACCTTTTCTCACTGAGGAGCAGCTGGTAACCTTTCCCAAGGGTGATCTGTTTGCCTTTTCCCGCTTGGGAGTTCCTTTTCCACCTCTTAAGGTGAGATACTAAGGGTCAAAAGGTGGTGAACAGACTGCTGCGACATCTGGCCATTTAGGAGGCGGAGCGGGAACCCTGTCACTGGGAATAAACCTGTCTCGCCCTTCCCCTTCACCAGTTCCTTTTCTGGAGACACCTGCCAGGTTAACGAACAGAGAAACTGAACTTGACCGCAGGCACTATGCAGCTGAGCTCTCGGCGCCTGTCATCAAGGCATCCAGATAATCAGGTCCACTTATGCTCCGGCTAAGAAGCCGAGGAGGACAGCAGAGGACCCACGAAGGGGAAGGTAGTGCGCCTTTTCCTATCTTCCCGGCGCCGGCGGGGCCGGGAATGGACGCCGGGGCTTACACCCCACTGTCTTGCTTTATCCCAGGGGAAATTCGAGAAATTTCAGGAGAAGGCAGGGAAAGAATAGTGTCGCGTCAGGAAAGCTCACCGTAAACCGCATCCGCGCTTCGGGCAAACTGAAGAGCGGCGGCGTCGGAGACATCTTCTCGATTGCGCGTGCAAGCCGCCGATCTGCGGCGCCGGGTGATGACGTCAAGTCGGGAGCAACGAGATTGCCGGCTCCCAACCTGGCTAGAGTGGCCTCTGAACAGAGGTGCCAGCCAGCCCGCCGCTGCGCGCTTATGGGCTGCCTGAATCCCGGTGGTCGTAGTGCTTTAGAGTCAGCCACACAGTGCCCAGTCCGAGTTCCAGGGTAGCCCATAGGCTGAGGGGACTTGAGTAGCCTCGCTCTGTAAATCCGGACACACACCAGATCCCTGTGGTTTTCCTGGTTTGGGGAGGGCGGGTGAAGGCGGCTCTTTGTGGCTCAGATGGCAGCACAGGGAGGGAACGCTGCCTGGGAATCCCGGGCAGGTGGGTTATCTGGGGGACTCCAGGTTAGGGAGTTGTGGCCGTGGACTGCCGGGCCGCTGTCTTCCCCGAAGCTGAAGTT